AAGCTTGTCTTTAACTTGAATTTGTATGTAAGTCAGAACTCATACTTACGAACGGACTGCCTGTTACTAAAAATGGTGGACGGCATTCCCCTTCCTTGAGCCAATGAACCGCTGAATCTGCATGATGCTTTCATGGACCGCTGGAAACCGCTGGAAACAAGCTGCATAATTAAAACGTGCAGCTTCAGTGGTTCATGAAAACATTGCGCAACTTCAGTGGTTCATCAGCTTGAGGAAGGAGAACTCCGTCCACCATTTTTAGTAACAGGCAGCCTGTTCGTAAGTATGAGTTGTCCGTAAGTCAGATGTTCTTAACCCAGGGACTGCCTGTAGCCAGCCCAGATAAGTTTCAGTGGTTACCTATTAGTAGTTTAGCCAGATGCATGGTGCTGGGGCCCAGCATTTCACTCTGCAAACAGTCTGAGTCTGTAGCATCTTCCCCATTACCACTTCTCTTATGAGCTTCTCAGATATTGAAAATGGGATTTTGCAGTAGGGTCTTTTCTGAAAAAATGACTGATCAAAAACAGTAAAAGATCTGCCTTGACCACTTCCTTATGGAAAAACATCTCTTTCAGGAAGTCCAAAGGATTGGTTTCATGGTATCAGAACACAAATCAAAGCTTGTATTTTAAAAAGTATAAGAGGAATACAAGCTGTGGTGCTATGATGTAGGTTTCTTTCATAGTGCCTGTGCCAATGATAATACTTTACTTGATGCTTGCAATTGATTTGTAACCCACCTTTACTTTGGAAGAGTCCAAAGGATTGGTTTCATGGTATCAGAACACAAATCAAAGCTTGTATTTTAAAAAGTATAAGAGGAATACAAGCTGTGGTGCTATGATGTAGGTTTCTTTCATAGTGCCTGTGCCAATGATAATACTTTACTTGATGCTTGCAATTGATTTGTAACCCACCTTTACTTTGGAAGCTCTCCCCTGTATGTGTCCACAACAACCTTGTATGTAGACTGGTTCAGAGAGAGAGAGAGAGGGAGATTAGACCAATGTTTCTCAACCTCAGCAACTTTAAAGGGTTTGGATTTCAGCTCCCAGAATTCTGGGAATTGAAGTCCACACATCTTAAAGTCCCTGGGTGACTAGACTACAGTCACCCAGGGACTTCCATGCTCAAATGGAGACTTGAACCAGTCCAAGTCCAACATTGTGACTGCATTCATGCAGCACATTCAAACTGGTTGCTGAGTTAATTTATTTTCTGGCTTCCCCTTGAACCATAAAACCTTAGTAGAAAGCTGGGTTTAACACAACAGAATAAGCCCTGACCCCCCCCATCCAACCCCCCCCCCAAGCTTGGCATGCCATTTCAAGGCATCTCTTTGGTCTTTACCTAACCCAGTTAAGCATGTTGTATAAATGCAAGCATCAACTACCGCAATATAATTTTTTTTTAAAAAAATGTTTTTGTTTGTATTATTCCATATAATGATTCTATAGTAACTGCCTTGAAGGCCCAGGAAAGATCAAAATAAGGGGGTGACCCTAGAGCAGATTTCATGCCTGGCCTTCTCTTCTTCTTCTTCCTTTGCCTAGGAACTCCGTGCAACAAGTGTTCTTTCTGTGCACCGGCATCGTTGTCATGGTGCTTTTCTCCCTCACTACAGAATGAGGGGCTGCAGCTTCCTTCTGCTGTTTCGCAAAGCTGCCTCCCTCTAAAGCGTTACAAGGAGTCAGGGACACCGGTGGATTTTTCTTCCTCGTGTGCCTGCGGATCTGACAGCTGCTCGGGGTGGTGAATAAAGGAAGCGTCCTTTTTCTTTTTCTTTTTTTTCAATGGTGCAACGCTGGACATCCAAAATGTTGAGAAAATATGGTTTTTTTAGGAGTGTCTATGTGTCTTTTAAAAAAAAAATAATTTAAGCAAAAAAAGCAGCAGCGAAGGGAGGCCCCTATTTGGGTGGAACTGATGTTGCTTCCAGTTGGACCAGTCTGTATGCTGGGATTGCTTGGATAAAACTCCAGAGTGAAATAAAGGCAAGATTGTAGCTCTGGCATGCCAGCAAAAGAATTCTCTTCTCTCCTGGGCTCAAGGACATCACCAGCAGCAAAATACTTGGTTGTTATTTGACGTACGTTGGAAGCTATATTTGCCCATCTAGCTCAGTATATCTGGACTGGCCGTGACTTTTCAGGGTGTTGGCTAGAGAGCTTTTCCAATTCTTTCCTTCCTGAAATCCTCTTTAAAATGGACACAGGCGGGCCTGAAGCATGTTTCCTGCCACGTTGCTATCGCCCCTTCCCATAAAGCAGCTTTGCACTTTTTCTGAGATAGGCAATCTGGAGCCCTCTGTGTACGTGGGATTCCAGCTTCTGTGGATCCCAGCCAGCATGGCCAATAGCAAGGGCCTTGGGTTTGGCAATCCAAAACATCTGAAAGGGCACCCAGGTTTCCTATCCTGGTTCTAGGATGTGGTCTTCTACAGCCTGATGCTTTTTTACTTCCAAAGTTGAGTAACTGAAAATCTGATCGGATTTAGATGATCCTTTCTTAGGCTTCTTCAATACATTTGTATTTTGAAGTCAGGATTCACATTGGAAATGCCTAAATGGATTATTTAATAACTCTGTCTCTAGCTATAACTTCTTCTCAAAACTAGAATATCAGCAGTAATTGGGGATGATGGAGCTCAGCTCCAAAGACCCCTGGGGACCCACAGTTGGGAGATATGACCTAAGAAGGCCTACAATATCCTTCCAACTGTAGCATTAACACTGCTTAAAATGAAGAGTTTTTTAATTCATTCTGGCCATAAAGTAGCTGGAAAGCAACAGGATTAAACTTGTTCTGCAACTTACTTCCCTTTTGGTTCATTTGGTAACTATTTAAAGGATAAGACAAATATACATTCTCTCATAATGGATAAGAAAAAACTCAGTAGAGATACACATAGGCAGCATAAAGAAAAATGCAGTAGATGCAGCAACCTTAAGTCTGCAGGGATAAAAACTCTGATTTTTTTTTTTCTGTTGTGACTTTAGCTGAAAGATGTTCATGTATTTTGATCAGCTCTTCCATAAAGCAGGAATAGAGGCAGCTAATCTGTTTCTTTGACTCATAATTAAACATCCTTGCTTTTTATTCATCTGTCTGTCTGGAAAGTTGGCTTCCTCCAGCAGTTGCTTCCAGCTGTTTCCAGTACAGAGTTCCAAAAGACACTTTTTCCTACTCATCCTATGTGTTTAATCCTTTTTATACACCATAGCTAATATTTTCCAAGAACACTGGTTGCCCCTTTAAGTACTGGGTGGCACTGTTAAGAAGCTCTAGTGCATTCCCGGGATATGAGAGTACATAGAAGATCATGCTATTTGAATCAGGGTTAAGTCTGGTGTAGGCTGCAAGCTACAGCAGGAATTTTCTGCTCACTGTTTAGGAATGCAAAGTGGGTGACATTGACTCATTAATCTCTGAGCTGTTATTGTTGGCTTGCAGCCCAGGCTGCCTGGAGTGAATTTGCAGATACTGGGGAGCATTGCCTGAAGTGGCCATTCAGAATCCAAGGGAAGAGGCCTCTGCTGCATTTGGAACTAGCCTCACAATATCACAAACAAATATGACAGGCTGATGCTTAATACTTCCACAATACTTGTCATTTTGGGAAAAGTAGCATTATTTTGCACTGGCTTTTGTGCATACACTTCCATCTGTTTCGTATGGAGGCAATAGAGATTAAATTTTTAAAAACTGAGCGTGGTCTCTTATTGACATGTATGCCTCTATTATTTTCATTGCATTCTTGCACATACCTCATTTAAATATGAAGACGTTCTTGGAAGGGACAAAAAGGTCATATCATTTATCTTTCCCTGACCTGATGCCTTTTGATTATTCTGACTGGGAATTACTCTTTAACATATCTGGAGAGAATCAAGTTGTGGAAGGCGGAGAATAAAAACTGCAATAAAAATGAAATAAAGATGCTTGAGATTGACACTGCAGTTCTGCATCCCCAGAAGGGTGTTCCAAGGACCATACATTGTGGTTGGAGAGAGACCTCTAAGTTAAGAGGGATAAATCCAATGATAGAAACCTCCTGTCCCATTTCTCCCTCTCCCCAGGCCTTTCTACAATCAGAAGACTAGGATCGCCAAGACCCAAAGGAGATGCTTTGGGAATGGTCTAGGGATGGGCTGATAATAGCTACAGATCTGCTGGATCAAAAATCATTGCAGCCCAACATGTAGTGTATTATTTCTGCCTGCCATGAAGTCCCTTACAGGAGGGGATGAGAGATACAGTTGTGGGGGGGAGAGATATAAATCCCTCAACTGCTTCATTTATGACAGTCTCTGATATGAAAGCCCTTCCAAATGGCAGGGTTTTATTGCCCGGGAAAATCAAGCTTACTAGTTGCTCGTAGGCATCAGCGTGCCTATGGAAACTGCCGTTGATGCTTGGCAGGCTCTCCACCTGCCTGATTTTACAAATTTTAATTTTAGTAAAATGCTGCAAAGCAAGTTTCAGTTTTGCCTGTCATTTTTCTCGAAGATTGCCTTTAAGCCTCATAGACGGTCTTAGGAAATAAAAATGGCCAGTGACTGCTCTATAGCTCTATATTTGGAAGTGTGAGGCCAGTTGAAAGTAAGCTTTCTGTAGAAATCACAAGAAACATTCTAGGAAGAGGAAAATCTCCTTGAAGACGTAAACATATTAATCTGAACTCTGCCAAGAGCCTGTGGAAGAGCACAAAATATTTATTCCATTATAAAATCACTGTAAGCAAAATTAATGAAATTGGAAAGCAATGATCCTTTGTCTCTGAGTTTTGGTGAAAAGATTAAATTGAAACACAGGAAGACATTGAGAAAATCCTGGTGAAAGAGAGCTGAAATGAAGATGGTATCTTGCAAAGAACTTTGTTTCCCAGCAGCCTCAAATCTCTCATACAGTTGTACTCTTTCTTCCTCCTTGTGGCTACAATTCAGTTCAGCCAAATTTAGGTGTTCAGTTGGCATGGTGTGGATGGGTAAGGAAGCTCTTTACACTGCTTCTCTTCACTAACAGCTTTATTTTGCCTTAGCAACTTGATGTAAACATAGTCTTATCAAGATACAGGCAAAGATCAGGTGTATTGAAGTAACCAACATGGTATGTTCTCCATCTTGGCCAATTGTCTCATAGATCAGCCAAGGCCAGGTCACCATAGCAACAACTTTTCTCCTCATTTCAAAATCCAGGGTCTCAGGTTGAGCCCAATTTTGGACCTCTCTTCCAGTAAGAAACTAATAATGGCAAAACAAGCTAAATGTCTTAGAGAAAGTGGTGATATTCCCCAGACCATCAATATTCTCAGTAATGTTGACTTGTTGTAGGGAGTTGCCATCCCTCAACAACCATTAAATCTAACACTTAACTTACAGAGGTGAAGCAAACAGTATCTGCAGTCAGGTAGTACACATAATTCCCAACTCTCCAGTGGCATTAACTTTATTGGGATTTAACTCTAAAAGAAGCAAGTGGGTCTATTAATAACAACAAAAATTACATGACTGAAATAGTCAAGATAATCTTTCTGCATTTAAAACTACCAAATCAGCTTGCTTTACATAAGGCTTATTTTTAAAAAAAACAACAGATCAAGGGATTCTGATTAGAAGCTTGGAGAAATCTATGCAGTTCCCAAGTGTTCTGACATACAGGGAAGAGCATAGCTAGGTTAGACCATGGAATTGGAAAGTTCATTGGATGTAATTTGGTCCAAACCTCTCCTGATGCAAAAATTGTTCTGCTTCAGTAGAAGCAGGTAATTTAAAGCCATGGGGCTTCATGTGGTTCCAACTCCCTCCTCCATTTTTGAGGCTCCTATAGTCCTCTCCAATCAAAGTTGCCAAACATTGGTGGCACTCTTTACTGTTAATTGGAGACTATACACCAAACCTTAAAAAATAAGACAGCCCTTTTTAAATGAAACCTCTCCAAATGCCCTAGCTTTCACCATATGTGGGACATGGCCCAGTCCACTTTGTCTGCTATCGCCCTTTTTCTCCAAAAAGGACTTTATTTTGCCCTTGTGCCACCATGTCGCTGACAGATGGCCATCCCATGAGGGCAAATCTACCACTTCCAAGGCTGCCAATTCTACTGCTGACCAGGACACCTTTTACCATTTGAACATTTTCTCTACGGGGAGACTCAAATCTGCTTCTCTTCGTTGTTGCCCATTGATTTTACTCTTGCCCTCTAGCACAGTGAAGAACAAATCCATTTAACTGAATATATTGCTTCTCACTGAAGGCAACCAGATGGTTGGAAGCACTGACTCCTTCTCATTATTGCTCTCTGGAAACTAGTATTCCTGGGCACTGAGCCTCTAAACAAAGAGGTTCCATGTAGCCAATATGGCTAATAACCATTGATACATTTATTGGCAAGGTCTCCAGTTTTCGTTGCTTGCAGAGAGACAACATAGCATTCACACAATCAGTTCTATTACATGTTTTACTGCAGTGAAATCCACCACAAACATCCATCTCAATGAGAATAAGGGGACCATGATGGATTGTACATAGATTTCTACATACTGTTTTTGCCTCTCTTCTTGAATCCAACCATTGCCTTCTTCAGTTTATTCAACATAGTGGTAACTGTGGATGAATTGCAGAAGTTTCAAAATACCTTTACAAAAATGAAGTAGAACCTCTGGAATTTCAGAAAATTCCAAGAATTCACTGTCCCTTTTGTTATGAGGTTGCTATTCTGTTTGATGACCGTTAAAGAAACTTTTATTGCAAAAACACCCAACAGAATTTATAAGGTTAGCCAATGAAATGTAATATATAAGGAATTCTCTATAAAGAGCAGTGATTGGTATTATTTGTTGCAAGAGTGGTGATCTCTCTTCCCTTTTTAGTATTATAGTGCCATATACACATATGGCACTATAATACTAAAAAGGGAAGA